TTTGGGCTTTAGGGGTTTAGGGCTTAAGTTATTAAGTTAGGATTTTAAAGGTTCATTCATAAAGGTTGTTCATCGGGTCTACAAGGGGTCTATGAGGGGCTTCGTGCTTAGAGTCGTTGGGCATTTTGGGGTTCCAGGTTGCCCGGACCCTCCCTGGGCTGTTTGACAGCTGCGTAGTAAGGTTTAGGGTTTAGGGTTTAGGGTTTAGGGTTTAGGGTTTAGTAGTTTAGTAGGATTGGAGCTCCGACAGTATACTTCCAATCTTCGCATGCGGCGGCAGTGCAGTGCTCCGGCGCCATGGCTGACCTTTACCTGCTGGGAGGCTCAGGCAGCAACGACCGAACTCCTGCGCAAGCGCGGTGCGGAATGGCACTCCCCGTCCATTCACGCCTGTTACGAGTTGCGTCCAAAGCCGCAGGCCTGCTCAGTAGCTTTCTGAAGGCATGGATTTGGAGGCGGCGTAGACAGAACGAGGAGGGGATTCTCTTGAGCTTTGTGTTGGGGAGTTGTCGCAGCTGCATTGTGTGCAGTTGAGCCGCTTCTTGTGACCCCGAAGACTGCAGGGGATTGTCGAGACACTCCTAAGTAAGGCGCCGAAAGACATCAAACAAGAAAGCCAAGACACCAGGATTGAGCGTTTGGGGTAGAGATTCCTTGAACCGTAAGCCGTAAAATTTATAAACCCTGAACTTATACCTAAAGCTCTGAACTCTAAACCCTATAAACCCTAAACGCCCCCGTAAAAAAAAAAAAAACCTCGGTCTTGTAAACCCTTATTACAAAGCTCGAAACCCTGAACCGCGGATGAATCGTGGAGGCTTGATCTGGCCTGGGTGCCAGCCTAGCTGACCGAAGGTTATTGGTAGGCTTTAAGCGAGAGGGTTCAAGGTTGAGGATTTGTGGGTTTCGGTGCGTGGGTTGATGGATTCCGGGGTTTGGGAGCCTGTGGCAGCCGGAACTTCGAAATGGTGTGGGCGGAGTTTACAGTCATCTGCTTCATCGGCATTTTTTACAGAAACATGTGATGCTGGTTTCGGCTAGCATGAGAACCGAAGCGCAACATATATGCCTGCACAAGCTGTGCAACCCGAACAGGACTCGAACTCATTTTCACTCTCTTAGGGATTGGGGTGTCGGACTTAAACGTTTATCCGCAACAAATACAGGGACCCTAATCAGTAGAACAGGGTTTGGGGTGAGATTGTGGACAGGTGATATAGGGGCTGTAACGCCCCAAAGGGCACCAAAGTACTTGCTATATAGTCGAACGTATCCTCCATAACAATACCTAGGACCCTCTGACAGTATCATTACTCCGGTCATGACAATGGAGCCCCCGAAAGAAATCATGATGTCGATCACCCTGCCAATTAGATATCGGGTACCGTGAAAAGGTGTATCTTCCACAAGAAAATTTGTGTCAAAAGATATGCCCCCAGCTTCAAGTCTTAAAGTTTGTGTATGCCTTCGAGTTTCAAAGGTTCTCTTTCTGTGTGCCGGGTTCAGAAAGTATTGTTGTCTGGGTTTCAGTTTGATATACCCAAATAACACAAGTATCCCATAGTCGCCCCTTATAGCCCCTACATACAGTTATGCTCCATTTGCTCCGGGCTTACTTTACTGTATTGGAGCGGGGTCTGTTGGAGCGCTCAAATTTCCCGAATCGCACCGTCAGCCCAGGAACCAGATAGAGGATTTGATCATGAACCACCACAAGGCTGGATAAAAGCCGGTTCAAGGTTTAGGGCCTAATGGGGCTAATGGGGTTTCAGGTTTAAGTTTGATCGGGTTCTGATCCTGGGGGCCTCGAACCTCGCGCCCCGAACCCTAGGCCAAAGTTTGTCATCCTCGTAGCCTGAAGCCCTAAGCCCTAGATCCCTAGATCCCCAGATCCCTGGATCCCTAAACCCTAAACCCTCAAC